GCACTGTTTGTTCCCAGCCCAGCCCGGGTACCCGGTGTCCCTCCAGCCGAGAGGGGGAGCACTGCCAGAGCATCCCACCATCCTCCACCTTCCCTCCTCCTATCTCTTTCCAGCCCCCCTCTCCCTCCGCCCCCGTGCTCCAGCCTAAATAATTCCTCCTCTGCCTGTCGGTGTGCAGACTGCTCCCCTGTCCTTCCCTTAGTCATCGCTCAGTCGAGCGAGACAGATACTGTTGCGTGCGGTTCTTCGTTGATCAGTCATTGCAGCCCCCGGATCGCTTCGCTGCGGGTCGCAGGGTGCACGGTGCCGAACACGAGGTGCCTCCCCCTTCACTACCCACATCCTCGCTGACAGAGCGCCTGCGTGGGGAGAGAGTGGCCCCTGTGATGCTGCATGGGTTGGCAGGTGACACAGACGGGGCTCCACATCCCTGGCTGGCTATGGGATGCGTGCCAGCACAGCACTAGCTTTCTAGGGTGGCTCGGATCCAAATCCCTGCTTTCCAGGTATCATGGCTGCCTTCCTCCTTCCGTGGCCAGCCAGGGTACGCCTCGTCCCCGCTGTGCTCCCACGTTAGTTCTAGGCTGATGCCTTGTCACCAGTCTGCCGACATGGGGAATTTGGGGTAGAGGGGACTGTGTGTGCTGGCTTTGAGGTCTAGGGGTGCATCCCAGATGAAGAGAGTGCATCCCAGGCGAAATAAGGCAAGAAAGGATGCTGGGGCATGCAGGGACATGCATGACACTGTACAGTTACCTAGAGAGTCCGTCGGCATTTGCTCCCGCACCAACCGTGGGGTTTGGATCCGCGCAGCCAGATTGGGAAGGCAGGTTCTGCCTTTTACTGTACCCCAAACCATTTCGCTGCCTGCCTTATGTGACAGCCACAGCAGCCCTGGCGCTCGGTACCAGCTGCTTAGGAGTCACCGGGGTGCTGCGGAGACGGGAACAGCGGGACACGGGAGCTCAGCGGTGGGGCCACCATCCACGGTGCCTCCTCCCGGTCTCTCCGCAAGGCTGTGACAATAGCCATGGGAGGTGCGGAGAGAGGCATCCGGGTCTTGCAGTGTTAACGCGTTGGTCCCGCATGGCCTTGCGCGGAGGCAGGAGAGGACCAGGACATGGATCCTGCGTGGGCTCCCAGCGTGAGTCACAGCCAAGCTGCCGCGGGGAGCAGGATGCTCACAGTGCCCGGCACCACCACGCCGTGTCCCCCGCCTCTGCAGCCCTGGCACCACGCAGGCTCCCCGCGGCCCCAGCTGTGCCGCGGGAGGGAAGCGGGAGCAGAGAACAGGAGGCGGTGTCTGGCAGCCCCGCGCGGTGTCGCACAGCGTGTGCCGTGCACAGCCCCTGCGTGGGTTCCTGTGGATGGCCCCGGCCAGCAGCATCCTCCCGGGACAGGAGCACAGCACGTCCATGGCGGGGTGCCCGTGGGGCTGTGTACTGCGGGGGCAGACCGTCCTGCAGCTCCAGGCAGTGTGCGAGGGGAGGTGATGGGGTGGTGGTGGTGGGGAACACCATTTCGCTGCTCTGATTCCGTATGTTTCCCTCCGGGCTGCACTGTGGTGCCAGGCAGCATAGGGCTGGTTCCAGGAGGTGGTGGGCATCGTTGTCCCTATCCCTGTCACCATGCCCAGTGTCTGGCTGCATTTCATAGAACCATAGAATGGTTTGGGGTCGGAAGGGACCTCTAAAGCTCATCCAGCTTCAGCCCCCTGCCACGGGCACACAATAACAGAGGAGGAGGGTTCTATGGGGCAGAGACTGGAGTCAAAGCTGGGTTGGTGGGGCAGGAGGAGAAGGGGGTCACGAACCGCTCTGCAGCATGATTTATTGGGACTGAAATGAGTCTCTGCATCCCTCCTCCTTGCGTGCTCTGATGGCTTTGGGACCCGTGCGTGAGGATGGCGGCACTGCCCATGTGGTAGTGCCGGGACGGTGCAGGACGTCCCGGTGTCAGGCTCTTGTCCCCCTGCCCGTGCCGGTCCCGCGGTGCCACAGCCGGCTCCTCTCGCGGTGCAGTGGCGACCTCCGGTGGCCACGTCGCTGCTGGGGAAGGGGGGGTCACACTACAGCCCCTCGCACCCCTCCCCAGCCCCACAGCCCACGCGGAGCCTCCCCAAAGGGCTTTTGTCCCTCCATTGGTCCCTGGCTTGGGGTTGGGGGTCCTTCTTGGGTGCCCAACCTCCTCGTCCCAGTTCTGTGCCCCAAATTCCCTCCCCTCCTTGCTCTGCTCGCATCTGCGGGATGTTGCTATACCGGGGGGACACTTATCCCTGCTCTGCGTGGTCATTCCTGCTGTGGCCGGGGAGGCGGAAGCATGGTTGGTGTCACCAGGGTGGCAGTGCCTCCATGGGCTGTGGCTGCTGCTGTCTTTGTCACATGCAGACCAGAGAACCCTCATCTCCTGTTTGTGATCCCTGGGTGCACCTGTGGCAGAGGTGGGATGGGGCTCTGACATGTCCCAGAGATGGCCAGGTGCCACAGGACATGGTGACACTGTCTCAGCCCAGAGGATCCTCTGTCCCCTCCTCTGTCAGTACAACTGCCCACATGTGTCCCCAGCATTCATAGGATCATGATTTGGGTTTGGGTTGGAAGGGACCTTAAAGCTCACTCAGTTCTAAACCCCTGCCATGGGCAGGGATACCTTCCACTGGAGTAGGTTGCTCCAAGTCATTCCCCTTGTCTGTCACTACATGCCCTTGTAAAGAGCTCCTCTCCAGATTTCTTGTCATACTATTCAGGCACTGGAGCTGCTCTAAGATCTTCCTGGGGTCTCTCAGCCTGGCTCCAGAGCAGAGCTGCATCAGCCCTCGGAGCATCTCCATGGCCTCCTCTGGACTGGCTCCAACAGCTCCAGATCCCTCTTGTGTTGGAGGCCCCAAAGCTGAATACAGCACTCCAGATCTGGAGAGCACCGGTTCTGGTGTAGGGCCCGCTTTGGTCCACCTCCCCTCTGGGACACACCAGACCTGGTGGCCAAGCGTAGGGCAGCCCCGGGGGCAGGCTGAGATGCCTGTGCTCGGAGGAGGGCGGTACCCTGCGCTCTGTGGTGCGGTCCAAGCACCCATTTTACCCACCGCCGCGTCGTTTGGGTGGGATGATGCCAGCCCTGTGCAATGACCGCGCACCCCAGCAGAGGGTGCAGCCTCCCTGTAAAGCGGGACAGCGCTACTCGCGGACCACAGCCCCGGGAGGAGGGGTGCTGGGGTGCAGCTCTGGGGCTGGAGACTCCCTTTTCCCTGCGGAGCAGCCCCACGAGAGCACAGCACCCACTGCATGGTGATGGTTGGTGGGTCAGCAGACGGGTGGGCTGCACAGGCACCATCGCTACAGCATGAATACTCTGGGATTGCCTTTCTTGTGGGGTCAGTGGGGAGACCGTGTGCCGGGCAGCTGGTTCCTGCCCCGGCCTTAGATCCTATAGAAATATCCTGATCCTTTGGAGTGCGACTTATGGGGCTTTTGGAGGGGAGGGTTTACAGTGCTGCTCAGAGACGGTCTGCACCAGCACCTGGTCAGAGGTTTGCTCTGGCATTTGGGTGGGTGGTTCATGGAGAGGTTTGCACCAGCATTTGTAGGGATTCATGGAGAGGTTTGCACCAGTGTTTAGTGAGAGGATTGCATGAGGATTCAGGGACAGATTTGTGGCAGCATTCAGGAGGTTTGCACTGACATGCAGGGGAAGGTTGCACCAGCATTCGGGAGGGTGTTGTGCAGGCCACAGGGTCTTTTTGGGGACTGGGTCCCTGAGATCACCTCCAGTGGAGCAGGTGACAGCTAAGAGATGCTGCGGGCACCACCTTGCCCATTCCCTCACCAAGTCCTCCTGTGTCTGCCCAGGTCAGCTGGGAGTGGTAAAGCTGCTGGTGCCTTGTCCCCAGTGTGCAGAGTGTGGCTAGATGAGGGTTCAGAGGGGTTCTGCCCTCCCAGCTTGGATCCTGTGTGGTGATCAGAGGGTGGCTTTGGGGTGCTGGCAGTGGGCACCTCACCCCCATGGTTCCCAGGACCTGTGCTCTAGCTCCAGCACAGGAGCAGTAGCACAGCACTTACCACTATCTCCCCAGGTGAGGGTACACTCCATGGGCAGAGCCCATGGCATTGCCACCTGGAGCAACCCGGCCTCAGGCACACAAACCGTCACCAGCTCCTCCTTCTTCCATGTGCCCATCGTCTTCCTCAAGGAGATGGGTGCTCCTCCAAGGAGCTTTCATGGCTAATCCAGGGCCTGCAACACTCACTGGATTTTGTCTGGGGGCCAGCTGGACACCACTGTTGTGGTCTGGATGCAATGACAGCCCACTGTAGCCATGGGGATGGGATGAAATATACAGGTCCAGCTTTTAGCAGCAAGCTCTGTGTTCCCTCAGACCCTATAGGTGCTGCCATGGTCTCCCTGGATCCAATTTTCAAGCCCTCTCCTTCCAGCCTTCAGCATGCGTACTGTGCAATGAAACATCCCCCATGGCAGGTGAGCACCCTTTCCAGCAGCCTGGTTCCCACAAAACACCAGTGACAGCCACAGCTTTCCCTGCCTGGGAGCTCCATGGATGTGTCTAGCAGTGGAGGAGCCTCCAGCCATGGGGACTGCTCTCCAAATACCTCCTCCTGAGATCCTTGGTGTCTCCATGGGATTGTTTTGGGGTTCCCAGCACCACTTCAAACAGTCTATTCCCAGCATCCAACCGGTGCCCAGTGCTCCAGTGCCTCTGTGGGCAAGGAGCACCCTCATCCCAGTGGATGGGTACTGCAGGGGCTGGGGCCCTTGTGGGGCCAGCCAGCCACTCTCCCTGCCGTCTGCTGTCGAGGTGCAACATGGGGCACCCCGAGTTTGCAATGAGGGTGCACCCTGGCTTCCCTCCATCACTTCCATGTGACACTTAGGGGACACAAGGTGCAGGTGGGACAGAGGCCCGAGGCTGGGTCAGGGTGTTAAACACAACACGTGGGGTCCCCAGAGATCCCCGAGGAGTGCCTGTAAGTGTACGGTGCGGAGGCTGGTTGGACACAGCTGTTTAATGGATGCTTCTCAAGTACAGAGCTGGGGTTGCGACACACGCAGCCACAGCCGCCTCTTCGCCATGGCCATGGCTCTTATCCCCATCTTGGACCTAACATCCGAAATATCCCCATTGACCTGGCACGCCAGGGCGGTAAAGGAAGATGTCATGGCACTGGCGTGCCTCCCGGTCTTGTAGCGGAGAGAGTCCCTGGGAGAAGGGGACTTGTGCCCTGGCGAGGGAAGGGGGGGGCGAGCGGGACAGAGCCCCCATCACATCGGGGTGGAGGTGAGGAGGGAGTGAGCAGGCTGCTGAAGGTGCACCCCTGCTCTGTGCATACCTTGGGGCACCTTGGGTGGGGGGGCAGGCTGAGGGCACTGCAGGGAAGGGGGCTGAGGGGCCAGGAGACAGCATCTGGGGCTGCCATGGGGCCTGGGCATGCGTGGGGTGAGGTTTGCAGGGTCCCTGCTCCTTCTCCTGTGGGCTGAGAGCATCCATCCACTTTCCTGGGACACTGGGTATCAGCCCTGCATGGTGAGTGCTTCTCACCCCCAGTGGCTCTGGGCTCTGTCTCGTCCTCCTCCTCCTCACGCCAAGCACTGATGCCCCAGTGAAGTGTGGATGCCGCCTGCCATGCTGGACGGGAGTGGGAGCAAATGGGAGATTCGAATGGTGAGCAGAGGGGAGAGCATCCCGTAGGACCAGGGAGACAGGAGAGGATGAGTGATGCAGGTGAGCATTCCTGCACATCCGTGCTCTTCCACCCCCTGGTGCTTTCTGTTCCCAGTGACCCTTCCCATACCCTTCATGTTGGCATGAAATGTTTGGTCCCCAGACTCGAGACTCAGCCATGAGCTGTGGGTGCAAGGATGGACTTCCTGTGCTCCAGCACACACTGGAGCCACGCAGGGAGAAGCCGAGTGAGGGTCAGCACCAAGGATTCACCATGGCCATGAGCTGAGCCAGTGCTTGCTGCAGACCCACGGGTGCTGATGCCAGTGGCATGCAGAGGTTCACTCGCACTGCCCCACGGCGCTGGGGACGCGTGGAGGCTCTGCTCTCACCCCAAACCTACCCAGACTTGGCCCCAGGAACAAAGCAAACTCCACTTCTTCATGGGGACCTGTTAGCTGCAGGGCTGGTGGGTGACCGGGTGCTGTGGGGCTGGGGATCATGGGGACAACAGCTCCCTGTGCCCATGGCATCCCCGCGGTGGGCTGCGGGGAGACCATGGGACCACACCCTACCCCTCCCCACCAATCAGAGATCCCCAAAACCGCGCCCCTCTCCCTCAGCCAATCAGAGCCCGGCACCCGTCCTCTTCACAGCCAATCGAAAGCGGAGGCAGGTGGAGAAGGCAGCTCGGCCGCATCCTCACCAGCCAATCACCGCCCAGCTCCGCCCTCAGGGGAGGGCAGGGCGGGGTGGTGGTAGCGGGAGAGGCCAAGGTGGCGCCGAGGGCTTTACGCGGGGGGCAGGAGGTGCAGGGCGGCGCTGTTGGGGCGGGCGGCCAGCACGAAGGCGACGTTGTCCCGCAGGAAGCCGGGCCAGTCCACGGGCCTGCGGGCACACACGGGGTCACTGCGGCTGCCCCACGGTGGGGGTGTCCCCCCCCATCGCCACCATCCCCGTCTCACCTGGGCTCCTCCTGCTCCAGCGCACGCGGGGTCTTCTCCAGGCTCCTGCTGCTGCTGCTGCTGGCGGGGCTGCTCTCCGATATGGGCCCCACGTGGCTGATGCTGTGGGGAGGGGGGACTATGGGAAGGGGGCACCCGTTTGTGTGCCCAGCACCTCTAAGGGGTGATGGGTTGTGGTGGAAACCCCGGCTCGCTCCAAGGGGGAGGTATCCCCATACCTGACGTTGCAGGATGGTGTCTCCTTGTGGTGCTTGCGGAACCAGGAGTGCCGGGCACGGCGGCACTCGGCGTCCCCGATGAAGCCGTCGTTGTCCTGGTCCAGGGCCAGGAAGGCTGCCCGCACGCGCTCCCGTTCCTTGGCGGTCAGCAGCCGCAGCAGTGCATTCTGAGGGGCACAGAAGGGAATGGGGAGCATGGATGTCATGGCCATGGGTGCTGGACTTGGATATCATGGCACAGGTGTTGGCTGTGGAAGCTGGACTTGGGTATCATGGTCATAGGAGCTGGCATTGGGTGTGATGGCAAAGGGAGTTAGCCGTGGGTGTCATGGCAATGGGACCTGGCCATGGGTGCTGGCTGTGGGAGCTAGCCTTGGGTGTTACGGAGTGCTGGCCATGGGTACCATAGCAGTGGGTGTTGGCCACAGGAGCTGACCTTGCGTGCCATGGCCATGGGTGCTGGCCGTAGGAACTGACCTTGCGTGCCATGGGCATGGGTGCTGGCCATAGGAACTGACCTTGCGTGCCATGGGCATGGGTGCTGGCCGTAGGAACTGACCTTGCGTGCCATGGGAATGGGTGCTGGCCATAGGAACTGACCTTGCGTGCCATGGGAATGGGTGCTGGCCATAGGAACTGACCTTGCGTGCCATGGGAATGGGTGCTGGCCATAGGAACTGATCTTGTGTGCCATGGGCATGGGTGCTGGCCATGGGAGCCAGTCCCAGGTACTGGGGCCACGGGTGCTGGCCATGGGAACTGGACTTGGGTGTTACGGCCATGGATGCCATGGCCATGGGAGCCAATCCCAGGTTCTGTGGCCATGGGTGCTAGCCGTAGGAACTGACCTTAGGTGCCATGTGCATGAGTTTTGGCCTTGGGTGTCATGGTAATGGATGCAGCCTGCTGCAGCTGGTCCCTGGCCCCACAGCTGTACCTGTGGCCGTAGTTTCTGCAGCAGCTGGATGGACTCATGGGAGAGGAAGTCGTGCCACTCAATGTGCCCCTTCTTGTCAGGGTCCAGGGCAGAGAACTGGAGGGTTGCTTGCTCCTCCTGCGCCTCGGCCATGGGCTGCTCAAACTGCTGCTTGTGCACCAGGTGCTTGTAGTGCAGGAAGTCATCCAGGGACAGGGAGGTCTCTGTGGGGTATGCATGGGCTGTGCAGTGCTCAGGATGGGGGGGATTCACCTCCCCAACCACCTGGGACCTGCTGTTGGTGGAATACACACCTGGAATGATCTTGCACTGCTTCATGGTCTCCATCAGGCTGTACATTTCTTCATCCGTCAGCAGCAGGTTGAGGTTGTCCTGGAGTGGGGGGCAGAGAGGAGCCGTGGGGCAAAGGCACGGGATGGGGGGAGCACCCGGCTGTGCTGTCGCACAGGGATCCCTTGAAAGCACGTGGATGCAGGCACACAGAAAGGCATGGAGTGCTGCGTCACCCAGGGGTGCTGCAGTGGGGTGGCTCCGCACCCCTGGTCTTTGTGTGCCCAGCAGCACGTTTGTGGTGCCGTATCCCCACCAAGGTGCTGTGAGGCTGGCTGCAGCAGAAGGGGACGTGGCAAAGGTCCACTCTCCCCTGATGCCTCCCCATCAGGCCAAAGCGGTGGCAGGAGCTGGGGAGCCGCAGGTTCCCCATCGCCCTGCACCAGGCTGAGATGTGGGACCCTGCTCCTCACCCTGTGGAGCACCCACCCCACCACAGAAGCCCCCGGTACCCCCCACCCCCTGCACTCACGCAGTAGTAGCAGCTCCAGCCCGTCTCGGTGTGCGCCGTCTCGGTCACCTCCACGGCACTGTTGTTCTGCAGGTAGCCCATGCGGCGCAGGCAGCCGTCGTGGTACACCCGGCTGCAGACGCGGCACGGAAAGAGGCTCTCGGCCGTCCACACCTCACAGATCTCACACATCTCGTCGTTATGGACCTGGGGGACATGAGCAGGTGCTCAGAGGGGGCAATGGGCACAGGGGGTGGCTTCTCAAGGTGGGGGTTAAGGTGGGGTTGGGTGTTCGTGAGAGGATGGGATTGTGCGGGGCTGGCGTAGGGAATCGGTGGGTGGTGGGGTTGTAGGGGCATGGCTGGTTAGGTTAGAGGAGGGTGAATGTGGATCATGAATGGAGGGTGGATGGCAGGAGGGACTGGGGTTGTTGGTTCTTTGGGGTGCAGTGTGGTAGGTGTGGATGGCTAGGCTGTGGGTTGTAGGTTGGCTGTAGTGTGGATGGGTGGAAGTACTGATCTGTGGGTTAGCTGGTTGTAGTTGTGGGTGGGTTAGCTGTAAGTAGGATGGGCTGGGGTGTAGGCTTGTTTGGGTGGGTGGGTGGATGGGTAGGGTCATGGGTGAGGATGGGTGGGCTGTAGGACTGTGGGCATAGGCAGATAAGCTGTTGGGTTGTAGTGGGCTGAGCTGTAAGGGTCTCAGTGTGGATAGATGGCTTGAGTTGAGGGCTGACAAACATAGAATCACAGACTAGACTGGGCTGGGAGGGACCTTAAAACTCATTCAGTTCCAACCTCCTGCCATGGGCATGAACACCTTCCACTAGAACAGGTTGCTCCAAGCCCCATCCAACCTGGCCTTGAACGCTGCCAGGGATGGGACAGCCACAGCTTCTCTGGGTAACCTGTGCCAGCACCTCACCCTCACAAGGAAGAGCTTCTTCCTTATATCTGATTTAAATCTCCCCTCTGCTAGTTCAAAGCCATTCCCCTTTGTCCTGTCCCTACAGGCCCTTGTCCAAAGCCCCTCTCCAGCTTTCCTGTAGCCCCTTTAGGCACTGGAGCTGCTCTAAGGTCCCCCCTTCAGGAGCCTTCTCTTCTCCAGGCTGACCCAGCCCAGCTCTCTTGGCCTGGCTCCAGAGCAGAGCTGCTCCAGCCCTCGCAGCATCTCTGTGGCCTCTTCTGGACTCCCTCAAGCAGGTCCACATCCTTCTTGTGCTGGGGGCCTCAGAGCTGGAGCTGTCTGTGCCCAGCACTGACCTCTCCTCCCCACGACAGGGTCCCTCCAGCGCACAGTTTCACACTCCCCCCCCCATGACATCTGCAGCCCCCCCACTGATCCCCTCCATGGGGCTCCGCCGTGCCCGGTGTCCCTGCCCCTGCTCCGTGCCCCCCCGGCGCTGCCGGCGCCCCGCTGCACCGCCCCATCCCCGCGCTTTGCTCACCTGCTCTCTCTGCAGGCTGATGTCGGGGGGTTCATCATCGCCCAGCTCCCGCTTGGGCCGGATGAAGGCGGGAGGCGTGAACCTGTTGGCCCGGTCGAACTCCTCCGGCTCCACGCCGCGGCCATCCCGCAGCCGTTCCCAGGCCGCCTTCCCCGCGCTGGTCTCCTCGGGCTGGGAGGGCCCCGCCGACGCCTCGTCCTCTCCCTCCTGCACCGACTGCTCCAGCGTCCCCCGACGGGCGTCCCCTGCCCCTGCGCGCCGCCGCGTCGAGGGCTGCTCCCGCAGCCCGTCCTTAAAGGCTGACACGGCCAAGCTGACCTTCTGCACCTTCTCCACCGTCTGCCGCCTGGACATCAGCACCCCCATGGCTCTGTGCGGGGGAAGGAAGGTGCTCAGAGATAAAGGTGCTGTGCTGCTGCTGCACCTCTTCCCTGCACTGTGCGCCTGGCCCCAAAAGGGTGTCCCCCAGCTTTCCCCTAGCTCAGGGTAGGGAGAAATGGGGGCTGCTTGGTGAGGAGGTGCTGGAGTCATCCGTGGTGGCCATGGGGAGGCGGACCTGAAGTAATGTGGGGTTCTGGCTCTGGAGGGCCTGGGTGCTGATGGTAGAATTGGGGGAGCAAGCAGGGAGCTGGTTTGGGGCACCCACATCCTGACTCTACATCCTTGCTCTGTGGATTCCACGTTAACAAGAAACACATCCCAGCCATTTCCACACCAGAGCAGGAATCCTGGAGGGATTTGGACCAGCTGTAACCCTGCCTTTTGTGTGCATCTCCTTTCTGCCTTGGAGAAAGCTTTGTCCAGCCAAGGGTGAGAGATGTCCTCCCCACAGTTCTGCCCAGGGCTAGGGCATAGCAGAGCTGGTGCTGGGTCTCAGCTTCCTTAAATCTCTTTTTACCCCCTGCCTCTCTTGGATTCACATGCCCATGTGTACGTGTGTGTGCTGCTGCCTTGATTGCTGGGTATCCCGTATTCTTCCAACAGCCATGTTGAGAAGCTGGGCCACGTAGGAGGGTGCAGGAGGGAGTGGAACAGTGCATGGATCTGGGGCACATGCGTCCTGAGAAGGGGGTTTGGCCACAGGACTGGGAGAAGACCTTCTTAGGCTAAAATAGGGAGGGGGCAACAGCAGCAGCAGCAGCAGGTTGGGGTGAGCTGAAGCTGTGGGGAAGCAGGATTTGCTCTCCAGCAGTGTGGGGCACAACATCCCCCTGCAGCACTGGGGTTGTGCTATGGAAGACGTTGCAGCCAAGAGAGGCATTCCCAGCTGGTGCCCAGGGACCGGGAGGCATCACTAGCTGGGGGCCCATCAGCGCAGCCATCTCCTGTGCTGCCAGCCACAGCAGGGGAGTCCCCAGGTATCGGGATAATGAGCAGCAGTGCTCGCACTGCGCCGGGGTCTCCCGCCGCTGCGGTGCTGGGGGGCCTGCCCATGGATAATTGCTGCTGCCCCACACCCGCAGTGCTGAGCGGCGCTGGCAGGCGGCTCCAACATGTGATGTGTGTGATTCCCAGCCTGCCCCCTCCGCCGCGGGACCATCTGCGTGCTCATTCCCACGCGGAGCCGGGCGTGTGACACATGAAGGCCCCGTCCTGGCGCGCTGGTCCCGGCACACCCGTGGGAAGGGGGTATCGGCACCCATGGGTGCCCTGATGGTGCTCGGGCCTTAGCAAAGGTTGGGAGCGGGGAAGCGCTGCAGGCACGTGTCCGAGCCACAGCAACAGCATCCCTGCGGCTGTGCCAGTGGGAGGGAAGACACCGGAGCCTCCTCACTGTGCCACCACCACCTCATGCCTGGATGGCTCAGGATTCATCAGCTGTGGGCAGCATCAGCACTGATGCTGGGCAGCGTTTTGGCTCTGCCTTCGAGTCATCGGGCTGGGGGCACTGCAGGGGGATCCCTCCCAAAGGGCTGCGTTTGCAGCACTGAGCATTGGGTGGATCCTGCCCTAGGTAGAAGCAGGGTGGAGAGGGTGCAGAGGGGCTGTGCTCATGGAGAAGAGCAAGAAGAGGGGTGTGTGTCCCAGCTCTCGGCACACCAGTCTGCTAAGTAGCTAAACTGGTGATCCTGGTCCCCAGCATGCTGGTAGCATCTCCCCACAGCACTGTGGGGCTCAAGGTGGCACCCTGCAGTGTGGCAGGGCAGCCATGGGGTGGCTGGAGTATGGGCCTGCTGTAATCCCCCCCATAATCAGGTTCCCCTGGTGTTCATGGCATGGTCACACATGCCCTGTCACTGCTGGAAGATCCCAGGCCATCTCCCTGCTTCCTGTGCACTCCCAAGTGTGGTGTCACCAGCTGTTGTGTGCCTGGAGTCTGGAGGGCATCACTCCTGTCACAGCTTGCATCTGTTCTCAGCCCCACTGCCCTCCCTGCAGCTAGGGCTGCACAGCTGGGCCCTACCTGCACATCTGGGGGCTGAATGGCTTCTGTCTCCTGCCCCTGCTGCTTCTCCACAGGCCCCCATGCTCCTCAGATACCCTAAAACTGGTCTGCGCTCCCCAGGCCCCCTGACTCCCCATGTCCTATCTGACTCTCACACAGATCCTGGCCAGGCTCAAGGTTCTTCCAGGCTTGGGTGGTCGCCCTTTTCCCGGGGTCTGTGGATGTAGGGAGGGGGTACTGTGGCACCCCATAGCATCCCAGTTACATGTCTGTATCCCCACATGTTCCTAGGGGACAATGTCTCTGGTGCTGTTTCTGTCCCCTGGGTGAGGACCCTGTTCACCTTGTCCTGAGGTGCCAGGGCATTGCCCTTGGTGCTGGGTGCCAGCGTGGGGGCTATTTTTAGGTCCTCCCCCTGGAGGAGCTAAATCTGTGCATGGGCTGGAGCTGCCTGCAAAGAGCTCTGCCAGCACCAGGGCCTGTCGCAGCGGATGGTGGGCACGTTCCCACCCTCTTCCCATCCCTTGCTTCCTGCTCCCTGTATCCTTGCCCCGTCCCCTGGGCAGAACCCATTCCCCACACTCTTCTGGTGGGGATTTGCTCCTTGGTACTTCATCCCTGCAGCAAAACATTGAATCAGAAGGCACTTTATCTCCCTAGCACCCATTGACTTATCTTTCCCAGCCCCATGCATGGGGAAACTGAGGCTCGGAGGCAAGGCTGGTGCAGCTGGGGTGAGGATCAGCCTGGTTTAGGTGGGGATGGGGTGCACTGGTGGGACAGGGCTGATGGCTCTGCAGGAGGAAGCAGCAGGGCAAAGCATCCCGATGCAGAGCCAATGGTGCTTGCAAAGCCTCCTTTCTAACAATGGGAGCGGGGAGCACCTATGTCTGGTGCTGAGGTTGTGGGGTGCCCAGCTTGGCTGCAAGGGTGCAGGATGGTGGGTGACGGGTGGGTGACAGGCAGGTGGGTGTATTGCAGCGCAGCCGGGTGTTGTGGTGGCTGCGAGCACAGGATGGATGCGGTGAGAGTGCATGTCTGTGTGTGGGGTGGATGCATTAGTGGCAGATGTGCTATGGGGTGGATGTATTAGGGATGGATGTGTTAGAGATGGATGTGTTAGGAGTGGGTGTATTGGGGTGGATGTGTATGGGATAGATGTGTTTTTAGGGTTGGATATGTTAGGAGTGGATGTGCTATGGGGTCGATGTGTTTTTAGGAGTGGATGCTTTAGGGGTGGATGTGCTATGGGGTGGTGGTATCCAGGATGGATGTGTTAGGGGTGGATCTGCTGTGGGGTGGTGGTATCAGGGATGGATGTGTTAGGGGTGGATGTGTGTGTTAGGGGTGGATGTATTAGGAATGGATGTATTAGGGGTGGATCTGCTATGGGGTGGTGGTATCAGGGATGGATGTGGTTAGGGGTGGATGCGTGTGTGTTAGGGATGGATGTGTGTGTTAGGGATGGATGTGTTAGGGATGGATCTGCTATGGGGTGGTGGTATCCGGGATGGATTTGTTAGGGGTGGATGTGTGTGTTAGGGGTGGATGTATTAGGAATGGATGTATTAGGGGTGGATCTGCTATGGGGTGGTGGTATCAGGGATGGATGTGGTTAGGGGTGGATGTGTGTGTTAGGGATGGATGTTTGTGTTAGGGATGGATGTGTTAGGGATGGGTGTGTTAGGGATAGATGTGTTAGGGATGGATGTATTAGGGTTGGATGTATTAGGGGTGGATGTGTCTGGAGTGGATGTCTTTTTAAGATTGGATATTTTTAGGGATGAATTCATGTGTATGGGGTGGATGTGTGTGTTAGGGGTAGATGTGTTATGGTGTGGATGTGTTAGGGGTGGATTTGTTTTTAGGGGTGGATGCATTAGCAGTGCATGTGTGTCTATGGGTTGGATGTGTTAGGGGTGCATGTATTTTTAGGGGTCGATATATTAGGGTTGGGTGTGCATGTTAGGGGTGGATGCACTGGGAGTGGTTGTGCTAGGGGTAGATTTGTTAGGGGTGGTTGTGTGTGTTAGGGGCGCCATGGTCTAGTGTGAGGTGTCCCTGCCTGTGGCAGGGGGTCCTTTCCAACCCTAATCTGACCATTCTGTTATTCTATGATTCTGTGTGTTGGGGGTGTGTGTGTGTGTTGGGTAGATGCATTATGGTGTGGATGCATTAAGGGTGCAGGTGGTAGGGATGGATGTGTTACGGGGTGAGTCTGTTAGGAGTGGATGTGGATCAGGTGGATGTATGTTTTAGGGAAGGATGCATTAGGGGTGGGTATATTTGGAGTGGATATATTGGGGTGGGCTTGTTAGGGTTGGATGCTTTATGTTGTGGATGATTTAGGGGTGTATGTGGGAGGGATGGATCTGTTATGGGGTGGATATGTTAGGAGTAGATGTGTGTGCTAGGGTTGGATGCATTAGATGTGTGTGTTTGGCATGTATGTGAGGGATGTGTGCTAGTGGTGTATGTGTTTCGTGTGTGTGTGTTGGGGTATGTGTGTGTGTTAGGGGTGTATGTGTTAGGGGTGTGTTTTAGGGGTGTGTGTGTTGGGGTGTGTGTGCTAGGGGTGTGAGTGTTGGGCTGTGTGTGTTGGGCTGTGTGTGTTGTAGGTGTATGTGTTAGGGGTGTGTGTGTTGGTGTATGTGTGTTAGGGGTGTATGTGCTGCAGGGTGGACGTGTTGTGGGGTGTATGTGCTATGGTGTGGCTGGCAGCATGGGGCGGGTGTTACGGTCAGTGGGGGGGTGAGGGCTGGGGGTATTGCAGTGGCTGTGGGCGCATGCAGTGGGTGCTGGCTTTGGGTGCAGGGGAATTGCAGAGCAGTGGGTGCGAGGTGGTGGCTGAGGCTGTGCGTGGGGTGCAGGCTGCGCTGTTGTGGTGCCTGGTGGTGCCATGGGGAGCTGGAGCACAAGCCATAGTGTCCAGGCTGCTGCCTCCCTGCCTGCCCCACCAGCAAACCAAAGGCTCCGTGGGTGCTTTTGCTGGTGCACACCATGAGCAGGGTCCATGGCACCCTGCTCTGCACCAGGAGCAGGACCCCCTCTGTGGCTCCCCGCTAGCAGGGAAGGATGCTCCTGGTCCCCATGCCTTCCTGTAGCCCAGGCCTCCTCCCTGCCCTCGCCAGGCTCCTGGTGTTTCCATCCCATTCCAGTGTTGTGCCTGCAGGAGGAACCTGGGGGCAGAGGGATGTGGTCCAGATGGGGAGCACACCCTGAGGACCCAGGGTCTGAAGGGCACCGAGTGGGGCTGGGAGGAGCTGCTGTGTCTCTGGCACAGCCCTGCACACACTGCCAGCACTGCTGCCTGGGGAGAGCGGAGCCGGGCAGCACCAGCAGCAGGCTCTGCTTGTTGGGGTCTGTATCCCACCTCCCTGAGGTGGCTGGGGATGCCCAGAGGGGTCGGGCAGCATCCCCTTGTCCCCCTCTCCATGGCAGATGGCACTTGCTTGGTGCTGTGGCACTGCTGGGGATGCTGCTGTGAGGTGACCCGGTTGCCATGGGGCAGGGACTCCCTGGATGGTGGTACCCTCCCCTTCCTCTGCAGGGATGGGGGGGGGCGGGGGCCGGTGCCTAGGTCTGGGGGGTGGTTGGAGCCCTGTCTGTGCTGTGTCCCCACCCTGGGGACACGGAGCCGGTGCTGCTCTCCCTGCCGCGCCATGGCAGATTTTATAGGTGTGTCACACGCTTCTGTCTCCCAGAGTGGGGTGAAAATGCCGTGACAGCAGAGTCCCTTCCCCTGCAGCAGACACGGCTCCTGACCAGGTCCCCCTTCTCCTCTCCCTCCCCAGCCCCTCTCCCAAACACCCACATGAGGACCTCGATGCTTGGGCAGGACCCTCCCACCCCATCCCCTTCCCTGCTCCCAGTCTCTCCATCCCAGGGAGCCAGTGTCCCGGGGGGCAGCAAGGGGACCCACCTATGGGTATCATGATGTGTAGTCAGCCCGTGCCATGCCCCAGGCAAAGCGCCAACAGCAGCAAAAAAAGCCACTTACCAGGGTCAGGGTCTGTCTGGAGAGCACGAGCCCTAGAGAGCAGTCCACACGATGTCCATCACCGCTGCCTCTGGCCACGACCACCCTGTCTCCACCTGCAGATGCTCACCGCATCCCGTGCCCAGCGTGCAGCTCCCTGCCGGGGGATGGAGCAGGGAAGGCTGGTACCCGGGGAGCCAGAGCCCTGCACTTGCTGCTGGAGGATGCAGGAGACAGCGAGATGCTGTGAGCGGATGCTTGTGTCTAGCGCACACTCACACACACACACACTCACACGCACACGGAGGAAGCAGGGAGCTTGTGACTGGGGCTGAGCAGATGCAGCCTGGTTTGCTGTCCCTGTACCAATTGCTGCCTGAGCTGTGTTAAACAGCTCTATGAGACACGAAGCATGTTTTTTTTTTCACCCGGGCTGACGTTGGCTGGGAGATACCAATAAAAGCTTTCCCCGCATCCCCTCTGGCCCCGGGGGGATGAACCGCCTTTCCTCGAAGCAACCTGAAGGGCTACAGAGATGGGGATGCATCAGCAGAGGAGCAAAGGTCCCCCCTGCACACCCATGGGGTCCTCCCTGGACCCCATGGGCTATGTAAAGCCTCTGCTTTAACCTGATGGCTGCTGGTCAGTGCTGCAGGCGGGCTGTCCTCGCCATGCCGTGGTGCAGCGGGGACATGGGGACTCCTGGCTACATGCAGCCCTGTGTTCCTAGTGCAATGCAGCGTGAGGGGGTTCAGTTCTACTGGTCCCCAGGACTGGGTATCACCTGTATGTGCACACTGCAGGGCTGGGGGCTCGCTGGGTGCAAGGGAGGTGATGGGGCAGAGGGAGGCTGCTGGGCTGGAGAAGGCACTAATGCAGTGCTTCTGCAGGTGGGATACCCACACCATGTGCACTTCCAGCTGCCCCACACTGACCTGGTGGAAATGGTCACTTGGACCCCCAACACCCTCTGGGATGGCGTACCCCTGGCTGAGGGGCTGTGCTTTTCCTTCAAGAGCTGCCAGCTGTACCTGGGGATGATTTAGGGTGCAAAAACCTTTCAGTCCCTCTAGGAACAGTCTCCAGCCAGGCCTGGGATTAACACTGAAGGTTACAGCAGAGGGGCCTGGGCAGTGCCCAGCGGGTCCTCTCCTGGCTAAAGCAGAGGGATGCTCTGCTCAGCCCCACTGCATTGTTCCTGTCCTTGATGAGGGGGGAATCCCACATCCCAGCCTCACATCCCAACCATGCCAGGCCCTGTGCCCTCCATGGGGCAGGGCAGACATGCCAGCCCCACGAACGAGTGGGCCTGTGTGTGTGTGTCTGTCTGCACATGGGTTCAGGAGGCTGTGGTAGGGCCATGGATGGGGAGGAACATCATCTTTCCCATGGGAAGCATGGAGTTGGAGCCATGGGATGAAGGGCTAATGATGGCTGAAGCTTGCTGGCTCCCAGGGGATGTGGAGCATCACTTCTGGGGCCTTCTCCACCTCTGAAAAGGCCTGTGCTGGACCCAGCATCCGACACCACTGCAGGGGGCAGGATAGCCTCGATGGGTGCTCCCAGCAGTGTATATATGGGGCAGGTTTTGCTCCAGCTTCACTAGTGCCAGGCTGGTCCCTTACCCCTGAATGTGCTCCTCACCCTGTGCTAGCCCTCCCTGGATGTGTGGGCAACAGTATGGGTCCCATAATACCAATACCTCCCATCACAGCCCCTTCCTGCTCAGGCAGGAGTGAGCTGAGACCATCTGCAGCTCATGTCATCCGCAAGCAGACCAGGGACTGGGAAAGGCCATGCCTGTGTGCTCTGATGGGACATTAGCTTCCTTCCCTGCTGTGTGGAGATGTTCAAAGCCAGGATGCAGACAAGATTTATCTCCTTGTGGCTGTGAGGTCTTGTCTGGCTTCACTCCATCAGCAGTGGGAGCCTTACAAGGATCCTCCGGTCACTCTGACCTGTCCCATTCTTCATCCTTCCCCAGGGATGCTTCCCTTTAGGGTGAATCACATTCTGCATTATTTGACCTGGAAAAGCACTGTGATGCATGTGGGGTGGGGAACATGGAGCCCATCTGTGAATGAGGACAGAGGAAAACATGTTTGCAGGCGAACCCTGGCCCCGGAGGACTGGGGAAAGGGGAAGCAGAAATGAGGAGTGTGCCAGCGCTATATGAAAGCTTTAAGTGCCTCTGCAGGGAGAGCCTGCACCCAGTGGACCCAGGGCCGAGTTCCTGGAAAAGCAAAGGCAAGGAGGAGCCCCAGCCCTGCTCCTGCTTGAGCTGCACTGGGGATGGGGTTCCTGCTGCTGTTTGCCCTGGGAAACACAGCTGTAGCATAGCTAGGCTGCATGTATGGGGCTGGCTGGGCCTGTGTGATGTATGGCAGCTCCTTGCTATCCACTGTGTGCACCATAGAGAGCTACATCCCAAATCCCCTCCTTCAAAGCGTACCCGTCACTCTCCGCCCCGTGCGAGATGCAGGATGCTGGGGGAGCAGGAGAACGCGGTCCCCCCCCTTGCCCTGCTTGCACAGCCAGAGCGTGGCTGCGGGTGCCTGTCAGCGATGGCAACAGGCTGGGAGAGCTCTTGGCAGCGCCGGCAGCGAGGAGGGCTGCAGGGGCGGAGGTGAGAGCTGAGCCTCAGTGGGAATGTGCATTTTTGTCAGCTCCCCCCCCAGCTCCGAAATCTCACATGACGCCCGCGTGTAGGTCACTGGCTGCTCCAGCGACGTGGAGTGTGGGCTCACCATCTGCGGATGCTTCTGGAGCCTGGGAATGCTGCCTCATGCCGCCGCGGCTTCATCCTGGCTACCCAGGCCGTGGGGAGTCATCACCTCGGGGAGGGGGCCCTGCAAGGAAGGGGTGAAGGGTTTGTGCTTGGATGGATGAGGGCACCCAAAGTTTTGGCTCCTGCTGGGAAGCAGGATCATCGTCGCTGTCAGCAGCATCAGCGCCTGCGCGAGCCGGCGTTCCTGCCAGTCAGCGGGGGGTGATGGAAGAGGGAACTTGTCAAAATAGCGAGATATCTTCCTTCAGGAGATTACAAGTTTGGCTGATGGAGATAATGGTGTTGATGCGCTGCGGGGAGGGTGCGGAGAGGCACCGGCGCACCGCACGGTGTGCAGCTGGTTCAGGAGGGGAGGATGATGCCAATGTCAGCATGAAATGGGATAAAAACCAGCTGCCTGATGGGCTGCTGTGTATGGCTGTGGGAAAGGGATGGCAGAGCTTTGGCCATTGCTGAGAACAAGAGGTGCAGGGGCAAGGTGGTCAGCAAGGGGGACCATGTGTGGTCCTTTCCAGCTGTCCCAGCCCATGCCTTTTATCCTAATGTGGGGTCCACATAGTGGAAGGGGATCAGAATTCCACCCATAGACTTAATCCACCAAGGATCCTGTTCTCCACCAGCACATCTCCTGGTGCTGGCTGTAGGCAGCACCTCCCAAGGCCACCCGCTGATGGCTGCTCTTCATGCCCACTGACAGCTGTCCACCATAGAATCATAGAATCACAGAATGGTTTGGGTTGGAAAGGACCTTAAGATCATCCAGTTCCAACCCCCTGCCATGGGCAGGGGCATCTCACACTAGGCCAAGTTACCCAAGGCTATGTCCAACCTGGCCTTGGACAGTGCCAGGGATGGAGCATTCACCACTTCTTTGTGCACCCTGTGCCAGTGCCTCATGCCCACTGACTTCTCTACATCACTGGCTATGGACATTCACACCGGGTTGTTGGTGTCTGTCTATCACATCCCTGGTCATCAACTTGACTGTGGGGCTGCAGTGCTGGTTCCACTGCAGACTGTGATGAGGTGGTGGCTGCTCTGTGGCTCCTACTCCCTGCATTCACCCCGCCATGGCATCAGGAATGATGATGGGATTAGGGACAGATGCTCGAGTGCCCCGAGCAGGAGCTGTCAGTTGGTGCCAGCATGGGCACAGCCCCTCCTTTGGCCGCTGTCAGCAGCAGCGTGGCAACAACCCAAAGTAGGTTAAGATGCTGCAGATGCTGTGTGCCTTGTGTCTGTGGCACTGTGTTTGATCTCGGCTTTCCCCTCCCATCCCAGCACTGGAGCGTACAGCTTTTGCAGAGCAGCTTTGTGTGCACTGCCAGGGTGCACAGAGCTGGTTTTGCCCCCTCCTCAGCAGCTTCTGTGAGATGCAGAGCCCCCGCAGAACAAAAGCCCATAGCAGGATTCACCTGATGGAGCTATCTTCAGCCCCATAGCTCCACAGTTGGAGGCAGTATGGATGCACGTGGTAGCTGAAGTCCCTGCTGTGGCAGGGCAGGGCACTGGTTTGCATGGGTAGGAGGCACATCTCCTTTGCTCTGTAGCGGCTTTGGGCTGAGCTCCCACTCCAGCCCAGTCCAGCATCCCTTCCTGGGCATGAGCACATTGTGGTCCCCATGGTGATTTTAGCTCCATGCAGAGCCCTGTCCTGGCACAGAGATGAGCGCTGAGCTCCTCATGCTTGCCTGTGTCTGGCACAGCCCTCACCACCGTGTCCCTCCCCACACTTGCTGGGCTGAGCATCGGTGTCCCTGGATGTGCAGCCCTGAGTGGACAATGCACTCCAGAAGCTTCTCCAGCTGCTGGAAGTTGGAGATCCAGCCTGCAGCCATTCCCATCCATCCTCTTGGATGAGCCCCTGCCTGTGTCCTCCTTTCTCCTATCCTGCAGTGGCAGCTTTTCCCTGTAGACTGAGCTTTGGGGAGCTGAGTGTGAGAGCTCAGCACCATGCTACCTCATGCAGCCATTGCTCCTTCGTGACCTGCCTCCACCCCTGTGATAAGGAGGAAGAGCTGGTGGGGAATAGTGTTAGGACCTGGGGATGGATTACGGAGAAAAGTTGTGGTCTGATGAGCCAGATGGGTACCAAAATACCCCAAGGGGTGCTGGGGGAAGGTGCAGGGGTGATGGAAGCAGGAGGTGGAGCAGGCAGCAGGAAGCCAACAGCCCCTCCTGCCCCAGGAGGCTTGCCCCATGGTCTGGAGTCTGCAGAAAGGCATTCCCCAAGGCACTGCCTGGGCTTACCCTGGGCTGCCCTTCCTGGGGATGGCACATCCCTGCAGAGCAGCCAGGGCAAGGAGCTGTGGGTCTTTTGACCCTGTTGCTGCAGCTGGCAGCTGACCAAGCCTGGCCCTGATGAGATGAGGATGCTCCCTCTGGACAGATAATAGCTGAGCACTTTAGAGCTCTCTAATCCAGGAGCACTCTTGTAGACATTAGCTAAATCACACAATCATAGAATGGTTTGGGTTGGGAAGGGCCTTAAAGTCATCCAGTTCCAAGCCCCTGCCATGGGCAAGGATGCCGCACAAAGATCATGTCACCCCAAGGCTCTCTCACAGGGCAATTCCAGCTCATGGCAAGAGGCTGTTGTCTACAGCCTGTCCTGTTCCCTTTAT